TCCTTCCAAAATCAATTAATTGATGAAAAACAATTATATTTTTAGACTCTCCCAATAATTAATTAATCAGTTTAAATCATTTTAACAAAGAAATAAATTTGACTCAACCAAAATTCCCAACTTCACCCTCGGTTCTATTTATCATCAAAGAAAGAATTGGGACCAAGTGCAAAGGTTTTTTTTATTCGTAATTTTATATAATGTTATGATAATTGTTTTATGATTTGGTATATTTTTAATGATTCGAGGATCTAAATTATAATTTGTATCACATAAGGAGGGGTAAAGGTGGGATTGGGCGGTTTTTTTGCCCACCAAAACCCTACACGAGTACAATATTTTTCGCCCCTTATCCTATTTGAGTTAGATTTAGTGAAGTTTTGTTTGATCCGAAACTCGATCTGATTTTTAGAGTAAAAATCTATATATGCATTCAATTAAACCCAATTTTTTTTTTCAAAAACAAAAAAGTCGATCCTATTAAATTAAGTTAAGACAAAATAAATCTATTAAATTGAATCAAATACTGATGGGAATGGTAGATGTATAGGTGGGTAGATGTATATAAAGAATGATGATTGCCAAAGATAAGTAGTGTGGCATGGGCCACCATGATTCCCAAAGAGAAAATATCACATGTCATTACCAAGTATCTTTCCCTCTCAAAGAGCATGTCACATTCACCCAACAAATCGCCTTATTGCGAACAATCATCCCCCTGTGTCACTTGCCTTTGTTTTCCAAACACTTCATCATTATCAACATCATGTTTTCTTTTTCTTGATAGGCTTATTATTTGCATCCTTTTATTTTTCTTTTTACTCATCTCCCTGTTTCTCATTCTTAATCATTTCCCCAAGCTGATTCAACAACACTTTAAATTTAATCCCCAAACTCTCTCTTTCTCTCTCCTCATTCATACCACCATAGATAATGTATATATTTTCGTAGCGACTGATGTATGTGTTGGTTGGGGCATGTACTTATCTTGAAGCTTGAATTTTAATTTTTTTTATTGTTCTCTCGGTTTCAAGGCTTTAGTTTAATTAATTTAGACCGACCGGTGTCACACACCTGATTTTGGTGGTGAGTCTCCCAACAGGAATTTTCTATACACAATGACTCGAACTCGAGACTTGCTTAAGCGATATTAAGCTGCTTATCACTTGAAGCAACCACCGTTGGTTTAAATTCAAATTCTTTTATGTTATTTATTTATTTCATTGATAGTGTTTACCTGAAATTTTATTTGTATTTCTCATACGAAAATTTATATTATTAACACGTATGTACTTATCTAAAAACATACTTCTGAATTCGTAGTTATCTTTTATGTATTCCAATAAATTGCCTTATGAATAAGCTACCTTACGGTTATGATCGTTAATCGGAGTATACCTTAACGTGAAGGGCAGCTGCCTTAAAAAACTAATCATGATTTAAGAGAATGGTTTACGATATTAATCAAATCAAAATGAAGGAGAATAATAGTAATAATAATTGAAATAATATAAAGCCGCATTTTTTAACTTGTAGTTTATGATTGCGGCCAATAAGGTATGTATTCCTTCAATCTTGCCCTTGATTACTCCGCACAATCTCCCTACCATTCCCTCTTTCTTCAGTTAAGGGTTAAATTAATATTTAGTCATTGAATTTAATATTTTTTCAATTTAGTTCCTAAATCATTTTTGTCCTATTGAAGTTGATAAGTTTTCAGTTTTAACTTTTTTGATGACATGGTATTCTAAAATTGTGTCATGTGGTTGGGATGTTCAAACAATTAATTCGGCTAGTGACTGAATTGAATTTTCATTAATCAAATTAACTGAATTTTTTTTATAGGTTTCGTTTCACTGTCAAATAAATTTCTTCTCAAAATCAATAAGAAAGGGAAAAGCGTAGTAAAGAGAAGTAAGGGATGATCTAAAAGGACTTAAAAAATTCCCAAATTTAATTTTGAGTTCGTTATGATCCAGACAATCTGCAGTAAAATAAAATAAAGGGGTTTTGATGGAAAAAAGATTGAATAAGAAAAAGTAACTAAGAGTGAAAATAAAGAAGATTGAAAATGTAAAATTGAAAATAACTATGGTAAAAAGCATCCTCAAGCCTCGCTTTGACTCAATTTGTTTCTGATCATCGAAATGGGTTTTCACTTCAAGATCCACGTCGGTTATGGTATACAAGGTGCAACCCTTGTAACTTGCTTTTCACTTTGCTGATCCAACTTTTAATTGAACCAACTACGACAATCGTCATTAGCACAAAAATAATTATAGTTTAGGAAAATCCAACTCAAAATATGTTGTCTCGCTCATAATCAAACCCGATCTCAATTTCCCTTAGCGGGTTGCCGTTAAGTGTGTTCACATGAAGTCATATATGATACAAGCCAATCTTTCCTCCTAACTTTAAATCAGAACAACATCCAAACCAACGTTCGACTTTTTGAAATGAAAGTGTTTTGATTTCAAATGATAGGTCGATTGCCTATCCAAGTTTCCAAAAAACTGAGAGTGACATCTTGAGATGTTAAGTGCTTTTCAATTCTCACATATTGAATTGAGTCATCGCTTAACCTTTCGTCTTATGAGAAAATTAGCTAAGCATGAGTCATTCTTAGTATGTTTAAAATAAAAAATGGAATAAAAATGAAAAATAAAGAAAAACTTTTATAAAACCAAAATAATAGAAATGTGTGAATCAAATCTAAAAACAAGTGTGTTAGGAGCCTTACCCCAAGGGGTATTTATAGCTTCTAAAATCCTAAAGATAAACAAATCCTAAAGATAATTCTAAATGTTTTCAAATTCAAACTTTAAATTTCAAAAACAAATCCTCATAAGATATCTTTGTCCGTCTATCTTCTAGAATACGCTAATTAGATCTTCTAGAAACTGATATTGACTTGACCTTCTAGAAACTGTCACGCCAGACCGCGTCATGCCCAGTGTCGTGCCCATGTCTCCAGCCATGACCAAATAATAATAAAAATGCAGAATGCGACATTCTTTCTGCTAATTATGGAAAATAAGATATTGCACGAAAATAAAAACAATACAACCAAATCAACAGTAATAATTCCACAAAATAGTAGAATTAACAAACAAATATTATCAATTTTGAATACTCATCATTTCCTTTAATCATTAAATGAACCAAATAAAAGTTCGATTGATTCGATCAATAATTGAATTAACCAATTTTTCTTATAATTATTTTAGTTAGATTAATTTGAGTTTGATGGAGGGATTTATGTTAAAATTTAATTAGTTATTGATAGTTTAATGAGTCTAGTGTAGTTAAAAAGTAAGTTAGTCTCAATTCTCAATGGGTTTGAGCTTAATATATATATATATAATATTTAATATGTATAATATATTTAATATTTAACATTTTCGATTAATTTGATTAATTAATAATTTTGAACTTAATTAATCGTTAATCAAAATATGAAAAAAATATTAATCGTTAATTGATCAAACTAATTTGGTAGCCGACGGAATTAACCGAACTAATTCAGTTTGATCGATTAATTCGATTAAAATCAAGAAATAAACACTCATAGTATGTGGTAGGATCTCATAGTACCATAGCATTAAAATGACTAAAAATCCAAATTCAAAGTGTGATGTGAAAAATGTTTTGGGATTAAATTAAGAAAATTGATCAAATTCAATAATTAAATATTATTTTATCTTTTTAATTAATTAAAAAGGTAGGTTTTTTCGATGTAAAAAAAGTAATAACCTAAAAAATCAAATTTATATCTTAGAAAAATTAAATGTCATTTATTAGGATGGTTTGAATAAATAAATCAAAACTAAATATTAAAATGGAAAACTAAGATAAATTAAAAAAATGGTAGAATAATAATTAATCATATTATTTTATTTAAAAATCATATTAATTATAAAATTATAACTAATACTACTTGATTTAGAACTATATTTGAAGAATATTATTATATTCCGTTCAACGAAGAAATGAACAAAGAAAATTATTGAAAATGTATTACAAGTTATATCTATTAATCGATTTTAACGATCAAAAGAGAATGTTAATTTTTTTTTATAAATCTTAAGTTTAAACGTATACATTTATAAGATATATTATTGATTATTGAGAAGGATTTTAAGGAGATACAACTAGGGATGGAAATGGGTCGGGTCGGGTTTTTGGTCCATCGGATCCGACCCGAGAACAAGGGAACCTCCACTCGAAACCCGATCCGATCAAAACAATGTCTCACCCGACCCGATCCGAAATAATAAAAAAAATTATTTTTATTCAATAAAAACAATGACTTAATTGAAAAAAATTATATATAGAGATATTATTATAATTATTCCTAAATATATAAGGTATAATTATATATTTTTTTCCGGTCGGGTCGGGTCAAGTATTTTTCACCTTAAACCCTACCCGAATTTTACACTTAAAAAAATCCGACCAAACCCGAACCCGAATTTTTTTTAAAAAATCCGACCCAGTCGGGTCGGAACAGACGAATTCGAATCGAGTGGCCTTCCCTAGATACAACTTTATTATCACCATAAACTATTAAAAAAGAAATCTTTTTAAAGAAAGATAGTCTCATTAAACCTTTTTGTCCATGGTGGTCTTCCACTTTAGTCACATAATAAGATTAAGCAGTTCCCAAGAGATTTTGAAGCACTTGGGAAACCACCAGGCACTGGGGTTTTGAGGGAATTTAAGGAATAGAAAACAAAAAGACCTTTTAACAGCACCCACCAATTTAGTTTCTCCCACTAGACAAGATGCGAGGAAGGAGGATAAAATATGGTGCTTTTGTATATCTTGGTAAATGTTTAATCCCAATAAAAGGAGGATAATACATGTCTGACAGAATATAAGTATGGCAAAGGAATTAAGAAATAATTATTTTCTAAAATGAACAAAAAGAAAAATAAACCCTTTCTAGTTCTTCCTCTGCATGATAATGCTTCTCCAAATTTACTAGTGATCAGTGATTTCTAGTCTGCAGGACAAATCCATGAATCGACTGTATCTTCACCTCTTGATGAGACATTCTCCAATCCCTTGTCATGGTGGAAAGTTGATGAGGAAGCTAAGTAGTTCAATTTGCAGCTGTTAACTCTTTGTGAATTATGCTCATTGCTACCGTAATTCCCATCGTTCAATCCAACTGCATGATCACTCCAGTTGCTCTCGATCCTCGAACGTGTCGCTTCTGGTGTTAAATGACCATGGCTCAACCCCAATTCATCAGTGGAAGGCATGGCTGAGCTTCCTTGAGGCTTCAAACCAAAGCCAGGCGAACTAAGAGATGGGTGTAAAGGAGGAGGGTCTAGGAAGGACTGGAACGATAGGATTTGGCTCTGGCTTTGCATGTTTTGAGGCTGCTTTAGTAAGCCTAAATCACAAAGATTGAAAGCATTAGCCATGGTGGTATTGCTTGTATTAGCAGCATCAAGTAAAGGATTGTTTAACAACGAAGGAGATGATGAGGGTCCAGTCTGAAGCCTTTTAGCCGAGGGACGTAAAGGGAAGAGAGAACCCAAAGGTTCCAAATGAGTGGGTCGTGAGCCAGATCCGAAAAGGTCGAGCCTTTTAGAATACGACGAACCAGAAAACGGTGGTGCTGGGATCCCTGTGAATTCTTGCACCATTGCTCTAAAATTCCTTGTGTCGGTGGTGAGAACTGTAGTCGGTGCTCTCCTCGATGCTCTTGTCCTCTTCTTCGGGTTCTTTACACCATTGTCATGAGCTGACCTCGATGATGGGCTTGGGAATGAACGTCCTTCTGAGCCTAAGATAAACTGGCTAGACAAAGACGAGCCTTGTAGGTTACCGAGGTCAGTGGCGTTGGGTTCAGATCCTAGCCTCGTCCGAGGACCAACCCCATCAAAATTCAGCAGTGAAGAATTGTTTGGTAGAGATAAAGAGAAAGGGTTGAGATAATTTGCACAAGGATCAAATAAAGTGGGTGCCTGATCTGGGTGTTGATTTGATAAGGGATTAAAATGGCCTGAAGTGTTCAGAAAAGTTGTGACCGACTCAGGTCTCGAGACTGAGTCATACTCTTCATCACCACCACTTGAAGACTGCATGCTACTACTGTTACCAGAATCCATGGCAACAAGAAATAAAAGCAATTATGAAGAGACTGAAAAGGTAGGCAAGAAATGAATGAAAAGAAAGTACATCCTTCTAAAAACAGCTTTGACAAAGTTTCCAACTTGATCTCCTCTTCTTGTATTCACTCAAAGAAGAAAACCATCTTTCTATTATAATTTCCAAGATGTTTCTTTCCTCTTTTTCTTGCTGTTGGTTCCTCTCCGTTGAATTAGGGTTTTGGGAGCAGGAAAAGAGAGAAGTGGAAGGAGAAGAAAGGTTATTCTATGAAAGAAAAGATGGGAGAGGAAGGTCTGTCATCCAACAAATGTTTTCCACTAAGAAGAAGATCCTAACAAGATAGTGCGGGGTGGGGTAGCCATTGGAGAAGAGGTGGCGGTGGCTGGCAACGCGTCAAACTCAGAGTGAATGAGATGGGGGGGGGGGGGGGAGAGAAACAGAGAGGGGCTTGCCTAATAATAATATATTAATAGTATATGTCACATTATATTTATTATATTTCCATGTTGTTTAAAATTATTTTTATTTTGATTTCATTTATTTATATTGATTAATTTTACTTAGAATTTGAATGTATTATATTTTTTAATAATAATATATAACTATATTTGTTTAAAAATAATTGGGTCCCTGTAGTTTTAGTTTATTTTAATTAGTTCCCTAAATCAGAATTTGATAAAATTTGGCCTTAATTTTTAGTTTAGTTTAATTTGACTCATAATTTGAATTTGGTAAATAAATTTAACTTACAGTTCTTAATTGACCTCGATTTAATCCTTAATTCAAGACTAATCAATGAATTTATTCTTAATTACGAATTGATTTCGATTTGGTTCTAATTCTTAATTAATTATCTTATGTTGAATTTGCATAAATTTTTTGTCATTTTATCTTTGTTTGTGTTTTCTGTTGGCCTACTTTAGCTTTTTTTTCATGCAACATAATTTAGGTATCAATTCTTTCCCGTACGTAATCGACTTCAATTCCACTGTTGATCCTAGTGTTAAACATAAACCATAATTGTAGGTGTTCGATCCCCCTGAAACAAGCAAGTAGAACATCCTCGGATGCTGCAAGAAACTCGGCATCGTCCTAAACACCAGTGTCACAAGACTTGACTTGTGAGCCAAAATTACAGAAACAAAAACCAAACAATACCAAAGTTCTTATTCCAGCCACTGCTTCTCTTATGGGCAACATTATAAGGTGGCGAGTTTAAACAATTTCGTAGATTGGATCCTGAGGCATTGAAGAAAATGGGAAACGAGGCATACAAAAAGGGAAGGTTTGAAGAGGCATTGACCTTTTACGAACCAACAATTTGTCTCGTTCCAAAGCAGGCCGTTGTAATAAGAGCGCTGCCTTGTTATGTTTAGGCCGTGTTATGGAAGCCAGTGCAAAGAAGCGATTCAGAATGATCCTACTTATTGCAGAGCTCATCACCGTTTGGCAACAATTTATCTCAGGTAACATTCCATAGGTTCATGTAAAGCAAAACATTATATAATCAATCATATGCGGAAAGGAAATTTGAATTATAACTGCTTTAAGTTTTCTATATCATTTTCTGAATTTACCATACAGATTGGGAGAAGCAAAGCAAGCATTGGATCATTGCAAAAATGCTTGCCAGCATGCCAACTCCGACGACAATGTTATAGCTCAGCCTCTCTATCAATGCCTTAAAAGATGCATAGATGCTCGAAAATCGAATGAATATAGTCTACTTCAACGACAATCAATGCCTCTGGAGTTGATTCTGCACCCGAAGTTCTTCTTTTTCTTTACCGTTTAAACATGCCTTATATAAACAACTGCAGCATCTAGTTACTTAATGATGTTTATGGACATATTTTGTGATCTTTACCAGGTTTATGCTCTTCAGACAGAGGCCTTTCGGAAGCTCCATAGGCATCAAGAAGCCTATACATCCCACAGCAAAGGACCGAATTTTGCCATTGAATCTTGTATCAATTTCTTCGGTATGGCCGTTAGTGCTTATCTTTTAATGATCAAAGCACTGGTCTACATGGTTTCTGGCAGGTTAGAAGAAAGAAATCTATATAATTGTTCTTTCCCTCAAGTTTTATGTAAATATCTTTCGAATATAGAATTCACCAGCATCAAAAAAGGTTTAACAGTGGATTTCATCTGATTATAATAGGCTAGATGAAGCTGTATCAGCAGCTCAGCATGTATCGAGACATGATCCAAGCAACAAGGAAATATCCCTAGTGGTAAAACAGACAAGAACAGCATCGTCAGCTTGACTGAGGGGTAACTCACTCTTCAATGCATCGGAAATCTCGGCAACCTGCATCGCATATAGTGAAAGACTAGAGCATGATCCATACAATTAAGTTCTGCTATGTAACAGAGCGGCCTGTAGATCTAAGCTAGGCCAATTTGAGAAGGCCAATTCAGTTCTCAAATAAGAACTCGAATTGAATTTGGTAGGAGAGTGGTGGAAGTTGAAAAATAAAGCAAGGAGAAAACTTTGTTCTTTATGAAGTGAACAAGAAAAACAAAAAGTTATTGGATAATCATTAATCAACTCTTCCACCTTCGACTTCACGACAATGGTTCTTTGATTACACCAACAATCTATGTTTCTTTGACAAAATAGCAGTTGGAATTTTGTAGAAATCATAGCAGTTGGAATTTTGTAGAAATCACAGTCGTATCCCATCATCACAAAGCTCTCTTCTGTCTTTTTGTTGATTTCTTCAGTTAACGGCTTCAAGTTGTTTGTTTTTTCCAATCTTTCCTCTAGCAATCTTCTTTTGCATCATCCTCATTCTTTTCGTTCTCTTCTTGCCGAGCCCTTAGCAGGAGCAGACCTACAACACATAAGCATGCATTTGGAGGTGGAATTGCAGCTTGATTATCATCAACAAGATCATGGGACCTAGCCTCTTCGTTGTGATTCTCTTGCAGCACCATGAGCCATTTGGAAATTGATGGTTCTTGATGTCTCGTCGCCATCTTCATGGTTTTGATTGTCTTGGTATTCTTCATCTTCTTTATTTTCGTCTTCATCTTCATCCTCGTCATCAGAAGTGATACCAGATCGAGGAAAAGAACTGAAGCATCGGAAATCGAAACGAATGCCCCGCAAACACGCTCAGAATTGCAACACTTGTTTCTTAAAACGAAGTGACTCCACCACCCAACCTGGCCTCCTTTTACTATGCGTCTATGCCTGCTATTGTGAATCTTTTCAATCTCAAAATCCCTTATTGAAGGACCACTCCAAACGATGCCTAACCTTAAATATTTGAGTCTTGAGAAAACCATTAAACCAAAGTTGAAGATTTCCCGGGACTTGGGATTTTGGACCAATGATGTTGCTGATATTGTGAGTACATAATTGTTGATTCTCATATCATTGAGGGCACATATTGAAATTTATTACTATAGTCTATTTTAATTGGTTGTACTTCAAAGCCTGAAATCTTCTATGTAAATGTACAATGTCGAATATTTGACCAAACAAAATAGAAGCATTTCCTGATTGATATATTGACTTATTGCACAGCTTAAGACGCAGGAGGGTTTGAACTATTTTCCGGCGGGTTGTGTGCTTGGCTAGATTTGGATTCAGATTTCTAACTTTTCCTGCTGTTTTTTACTATGTTACACTAACCACAGGATCTTCTACTTCTCGTCTGTAATATTATGAATATGGACGCCCAATGCATATATATATATATACATGGAGGAATACCTCAATCCTCACCCTAACCCTCTTTGAAATACAACTCCAAGAGGCAATATAGGAAGAAAAAGCAGTAGCCTTTTCCTTTGACTGTGAGAATACATCAATGGCGGAGCAAAGTTACCCACAGAGAAAGATAGAAATGGAGTCTGCCAAGGAGCTGAAGCGAAAGAAACGCATGAAATTGCTTGTATACGCATTAGCTTTCGCCATTTTCCAGACCATTGTCATCTTGATTTTTTCGTTTACTGTCATGCGTATAAAAAACCCCAAGTTTAGAGTCGGTTCTATCACCGTCGAGGAGCTCACGGTGACAGCTCCCAACTCTTCTTCTTTCAACATCATACTCAACGCCCAAGTTTCCGTAAAGAACACAAATTTCGGACACTTCAAATTCGACAACACCACCATATCGTTCGATTACGGGGGAGTTGGAGTCGGGGATGCATTTGTCGCTAAAGGAAGAAGCAAGGCAAGATCCACAAAGAAGATGAATGTAACTGTGGAAATGAACTCCAATAATATACCAAATAATTCGAGCTTGCAAAGTGAGATTGAATCTGGGTTTTTGGCACTGACCTGCCATTCCAAATTGAGTGGGAAAGTGCAGTTGATGAAATTGATCAAAAAGAAGAAATCTGCGGAGATGAAATGCGCAATGCTAGTAAACTTGGTGACCAAAGCTGTCCAAGATATCAAGTGCCAATAAACTTGAGCTTTGCAGTATCAACTGCAGTACCTTAATATGTATAATTTCCTTTTCATTTGTTTTTTAAACTTCTCTTCTACTTGTATCAATTTCACTATTGGTTATTTTTTATAGGATTGTTTTTACTATACGGTGGCTGTGTTTTTTTCTTTTTGACACTATAACATTCTTTAGTGTCTCATAGCTTTCTTCTTTGATATAGCTGTCTATCACACAAGATCATGTCTTGTTGCAATAGTAAAAAGCATGACATAATCAAATAGTAAATATTTTTCAATTTAAATGAAATTAACGGCGGAGTTATAAAACAGGAATAATTCGAAAGCTGAGTAATTAAAATAAAATTTTATAAAATTTTGTAATCCAAATAGGAGATATGTAAAAATTGAGGGATGCAATTTGTAATTTATTCATATTGTGCCTCAAACCCCAATCAACCAGGTCATAGACTGCTGCACTTTGTAGGTCTTGAATCCAAAGAACCAAGATTTAACAGCAATATCAGTGTCAAAGGAAGAGTTTTGCAGTTACAAGACAACAACTGGTGTTACAGGCAAGTTTCTCAACCTTCCCTCATGTTTGAATCTTTGTTATCCTGTTTCTTATGCTAAAAGAAGACCAGCGAATCTAAATCAGTAAAACCTCAAATAATGGCATCCCCTATTATCCAAACTCTAGTATCATTGTCTCTCAATAAATCACCCCGTTTCCAGAAACCCATTTCTAGTTATTCCATCTTTGTTGTTTTCTTCTCATCTTCTGCCAACCAGGAATCAAGACCTTCCTTTTCTTTAGTTGATCACTTCATTCAAAAACACAACTTCTCCCCTGAAATTGCCGTCAAAACTGCATCTTCCTTAACCCTTGTAAAGGATCCTCGTAACTGTGATAATATAATTTCTTTCTTAAAAGAAAGTGGTTTCTCAAAACCCCATATCGAATAAATGCTCAAAAGGAAGCCTAACCTTCTATCTTCTAGTCTTGAGAAAACCATTAAAACCGAGTTCAAGATTTTCCGAGATTTAGGATTTTCGACCGATGATGTCGCTGATATTGTAGCTGGCGATCCCTGGATTTTGACTAGAAGCGTGGATGATAGAATAGCCCCTTCAATTTTGGATCTAGAGAGTGTTCTAGGATCGAAAGCCGACATTGTTAAGCTACTGAAAACTTCAGCTTGGTTTCTGAAATGTGATTTGCAGAAGACGATTATGCCTAATATAGAGTACTTGAGAAGTTGCGGGATTAGTTTGTCGCAAATTGTTTTCTATCTGTTTAGCTATCCTACATTTTTCTTGCATAAAGCTGAGAGCATTAAGCAGTTTGTTAAAAGGTCGAATGACATGGGAGTCGATAGGAAGTCGAATATGTTTTTCGTTGCTATTAGGACCTTGAGTTCAATGAGTGAAGAGAAATGGGAACAGAAGTTGGGTTTCTCTGAAGATGATATCTTGTCTACTTTTAGGAGGACACCACATGTGTTTAATGTGTCAGAAGGGAAGATCAAGGAAATCACTGACTTTTTACTTACCAGAAAAAATGTAGGCATTTCGCTTATAACAAGCAACCCACTGGTGCTTAGTTATAGCCCTGAGCACAGGCTGAAGCCTCGACTACTGGTTATTTAGATTCTGGAAAGTAAGAATTTGCTAAGAAGGAAAGCTAGCCTGACTACAATTTGTAAGATGTCTGAAAAGAAGTTCAAAGAGAAGTATGTTAGTCCTTAATTAAACGAACTTGAGAATGTATCAATGGCTATTGCAGGGACATAATCGTTGGCTTTCATATCGTTGAGGGCACATATAAAATATTCGATGTACTTTGGGTTGATAACTGGAGTATTTTTTTGGTTGAAATTGATTGTATGAATATATTGACCATTTTGGTGGTTTTTAAGCAGTTTCTAAGATTTTTCTTCGCAATGGACTACTAATCCTACTTTATTTTTTCACTTTGTTTTCTTTCTTGAAACGCCTGCTTGTATAGCCAAGTTCTTTCTTTCGATTGCAGATTCAAATGTTAGCAGAGGCAGAACCACTATTTGGTGCTGCTGAAATATTTTTAGTAAGGCAAATTGCAGGAATGTTTCTTATAAACAAGTAGATTGCAGAAAATGTGTAAAAAGATTGTTTTGAATAGAAAAGCATCGAAGAGAGTGCTGTGTGTTCATGGTAGCGGAACATGTTTCCGATGAGATTTGAACTGGCACTGTTAAACTGTCAATGCATTTGATAAATATTATGGCAGTACTTATTGTAAGACTTAGTCTGTGTCCTGTGGAGAATCCAGGGACCGTTTTTTTCCCGTTGAATATACATGTGCTTTAATGTTCTAGTTTGAAATTTGATCATTTGTATCTCTAGTTCCCTGAGGATGAATTCTAGATGCAGGGCTTATATTTGAGGTGGACCACAAAAAGGTTCTGGCATTGGTAGTCCTTGGTGCTTGGCTTAGAATCCTTTGCTGCTTTTTAACTCGATGCACATCTCGAAGCGTAAATCCGAACGTCTGTCTTTCTCTCTTTGTTCTCATTTCAGGTCAACTGCTGGTTCACATCTACCAGCCTCCCAAGACCATCAACTCCATCTAAGAAAAGATTTCTGCTGTTGTTAGTTGTCAAAGCTTCTGCTGCTGCCCCTTTGGCTTTATCTGTTATCGTTCCAGGAAAGAAAATTTTGCATTGTCGATTCATTTTCTATTTTGTTAGATCCTTACAAGAAATTAAATTGAAAACCCCACGTGTTTAAGCGTCGGCGCCACCATCGTCGATGTTCTCCTGGTAGCAACCTCTAACCCTCCTTTCATCATTCTAACATGACGCTCAAGTTGCCGGTAAATTTTGATTAAAATTAAAAAAAAAACAATATTACACGAGGATTCTTTATTATCAAAACAAAAGGAGAAAAGACATACAATTAACGACAAAATTCTTTTGATAACATCTGCTATCAATTATTTCTTTCTTCTTTTTCTTTTCCTTAATAATTTGCCGCCTCCTCGCTAATCTTGATGGAACATGTATAAAAAGTTATATGCTTATTGTACTTAGAATTAAACTAATAATCAATGGCTCATCTTAACACAGTACTAAGTATAAAAAGTTTCATTTATATTATCAAACTAGTATATATTTCATTATCAATATTGATGGAACAAGCATCATTTTTCTTAGAATTCAAGCATGTTTTATACTAGTTTGATAATGAAATATATACTAGTTTGATAATATAAATGAAACTTTTTATATTTAGTACTGTGTTAAGATGAACCATTGATTATTAGTTTAATTCTAAGTACAATTAGCATGTCCTAGAATTTACAATATTTTTATACATGTTCTTTGTCCCTAGATCACTGGGTGCGAATCTCGTATTATGACCAAAATCATGTTTTGGTCATGTGAGTATATCTTTCTTCGCCTTTGATACTTGATATTGGGAGGTAAATGAGGAGAATCAAAGGATTTTTGAGTGTCAAAAAATGTAATTTGTGAAAGAAGAAGAAAAAAAATTCAACGTTTAGCCCTAACATATGACAGCTATACACAAGCGTTATACTTGGCCGAAAATAAATGTTGATACCCTACACGGGAAAAAGGGAAAAAACCGATAGGACAATGGGAATTTATAATTTGTGGTACCCAATGCAGAGAAGTTTAATGCAAGGGCAATCAAGTCATTAAAATCTCATAAAGTTTCAACATGAACCAAGCTTCTCCACTTCACTCTTCTCACTGCACGAATTTTACTTTTGAGCTGCAACTTCACTACTGATCACCTCAAAATGAAGTTTCAAGAGCTCTGTTTCGTTTCCTTAACAAGTTTCACTTTGCTTTTCATCTACGTTGCTTCAACTCAGCCTCCTTTTTCATGTGATTCACTAGACCCATCAACAAAAAGCTACCCTTTCTGCCAAACTACACTCCCCATTATTCAAAGGGCTAGGGACCTTGTTTCCAGGCTGACATTAGATGAGAAGATCTCTCAACTCGTTAACTCAGCTCCCGCGATTCCTCGGCTCGGTATCCCCGCCTACGAGTGGTGGTCGGAGGCATTACATGGTGTTTCCAATGTCGGCCCCGGCATCAAGTTTGGTGGTACTATTAAAGCTGCCACTAGCTTCCCTCAAGTCATCCTCACCGCTGCTTCTTTTGATGCTTATCAATGGTACCGCATTGGCCTAGTAAGTCTCTATTTGTTTCACAATTCAGCTTCCTTTTTGTTGAGACTGATCGTTTTGATGATGTTAATCAAGGCTATTGGAAGAGAAGCAAGGGCAATATACAACGCAGGAGAAGCAAAATGGGGTGACACTTTGGTCCCCTAATATTAACATATTTAGGGACCCAAGATGGGGGAGAGGGCAAGAAACACCAGGGGAGGATCCACATGTTACAGGGAAATATGCAGTGTCATATGTCAGAGGAGTTCAAGGGGATACTTTCCAAGGAGGGAAGCTTATTGGACACCTTCAAGCTTCAGCTTGTTGTAAGCATTTCACAGCTTATGATTTGGATAATTGGGATGGCGTAAACCGGTTCGTCTTCGATGCTCGTGTAAGTGTTGCACGATCTAATTTTCTGCATTTTGGAGTATGTTTCAAAGATTCCTTAAAGTTTCTAGCTCATCTTTACTGTTTTTTTCCTTTTAATTCATGCTTTGATTATCATATTTCCTTGAGAAAGAATCAGAATAACGTATGTAGCCTACCTTTTGAGAACAAACTGTCAAAAAAGCGATGAAGCAAGTTGTTGTAGTGGAGGAAAATGCGGTTGTTATTAAACTTTAGTAAAAGCTACTTTAAGAAGCTCAAAATTTCACATATTCTCTCAAGCAGAACAGCACTTTTACCTTTTTGCCTGTCGGGTAAATATATATTCTTTTTTGTTTGGATAATTGTAAATTGTGTAGGTCACTGTGCAAGACTTAGCCGACACATACCAACCGCCATTCAAGAGGTGCGTGAAGGATGGTCGAGCAAGTGGCATAATGTGTGCTTACAATAGAGTGAATGGGGTCCCAAGCTGTGCAGATGAAGACATCTTATCAAAGACAGCTAGAGGAGAATGGGATTTCAAAGGGTAATATTCGTGTCCTGTTATTTGTCAATTTATTATGTAGGAGAAAGAAAATTATGATTAGTTGGTGATGCCATCTATTCAAAGGTACATCTCATCGGACTGTGATGCGGTCGATGTCATGTATAATGATCAACAATACACCAAAGCACCCGAAGATGCTGTTGTCGATGTTCTTAGAGCTGGTATGCTGGACCTCACCCTTTCTAATCTTGTCCCGTGCAACATGTGTCTGTGCTTTCTACATTCATTATATGTTTCTCGGAATTATTCATTTTTATTGAAGAAAATCATATTGACTTGTTATGTATGTTCAAATATGGGTATGATTATATGATCATTCAAAGATCCTTCAAATACATGAAAAAACTTACACCCAAGTTCGATTAATATAGCTATCTATGCTGTACTTGTCGTTTGAAATTTCCTGCATCAATAGGTCTAGCTGGAAATACTTCCATGGAAAACATGTAGGCATAGGATTTGAAAGAATCTGATGAAATTTTGATAATTCATCTTTGATCATCACTATGACAAGCATAATAGAAGAATCAGTGTAATTGCTGCAATCTATTTGATATTTGATTCTTAATTTTTTTTAGATGCCAATATGTTTTTGTTTGACAACATTTATAGGCATGGATGTCAACTGCGGATCCTTTCTGCAGAAATACACGAAATCGGCAATACTACAGAAAAAACTGCCTGAATCCTTAATTGACCGAGCTCTTCATAATCTCTTTTCTATCAGAATGAGGTTAGGCCTTTTCAATGGAAATCCAGCGAACAATCCTTTTGGTAACATCGCGACTGATCAAATTTGCTCCCCGGAGCACCAGATTCTAGCACTGGAAGCTGCTCGTAACGGCATCGTCCTTTTAAAGAACGATGCAAAACTCCTTCCACTTCCGAAATCAGCCGTGTCGCTAGCTGTAATAGGCCCTAATGCCAATTCCCCGCAAACTCTTCTAGGAAACTATGCAGGTCCTCCATGCACGTCTGTTACTCCTTTGCAAGCTCTACAGGGCTATGTTAAGAACACTGTTTACCAACCAGGTTGTGATACTGTTTCTTGTTCGACCGGTGCAATTGACAAAGCGGTAGATATAGCAAAACAGGAAGATTTCGTAGTATTGATAATGGGATTAGACCAAACTCAAGAAAGGGAGGAGCTCGATCGTGTCGATTTGTTGCTTCCCGGCAGGCAACATGAACTCATCACAGCTGTTGCAAAATCTGCAAAGAGACCAGTTGTTTTGGTGCTTCTTTCTGGAGGTCCAATCGATGTATCTTTGCAAAGGATGATCCGAGAATCGAGGCATTTTGTGGGCAGGTTATCCGGGACAAGGAGGAGGCACTGCACTTGCAGAAATAATCTTTGGTGATCACAATCCAGGTAACAAACCATTGACAATGCTTAGAAAAGCTACTACTTCATTCAATCTAAACAGAACAACTTATATTGCCTATTACTACATGCTTCTATGCAGGAGGGAGATTACCTGTAACTTGGTACCCACAAGATTATACCAAAGTGCCAATGACAGACATGAGGATGAGGCCAGAATCGGATTATCCGGTCGCACTTATAGATTCTATGAAGGGGACACGGTCTTTGAATTCGGTTATGGCCTAAGTTTACTCAAAATTTCTTATGCAATCACACATGTATCCCAAAAGAATATTTACTTGAATCATTCTTCGAGTTTACATACAACCAGGACCTCGAATTCCATAAGATACAATCTTGTGTCGGAGCTAGGCACGGATGTCTGCGATCAAAGAAGTTAACCGTTCGTATTGGAGTAAAAATCACGGGGAGATGGCCGGTAACATCCGTATTGTTGTTTCCGAGGCAAGGAAACCGTGGAGATGGGAGTCCAAGAAGCAATTGATAGGATTCAAGAGTGTTTCTAAGTGCAGGGGAAATGGGTGGCATTGCGTTTGAGGTAAGTCCATGTGAGCATTTAAGTAGGGCTAATGGATATGGTTTGATGGTAATGGGAAGAAGGGATGCATTTCTTGGTTGTAGGAGATGATGAGCACCCAATTACTGTAATAGTCTGATACATGTGGATATTATTGATAAACCCCAAATTGTTGACCATCAGTTGCAATAATAATAACAATTTATCAAGTGCATAAAATACAAGCATCCTATGAAACTTTGCTCATTGTTTTATCTACTTTCCAGTTGTCGGTTGAGTAGAATATATGGCCAAATGCCAATAA